AGATTCAGTGTAAATATCTCCCAACACATGATGGGCACGGCACCTTTTTCTGTTCGGTGGTTTTTTTAAGACAGGGTCTCACTATGTAGTCCAGGCTGGCCTCAAACTTGCAGTGATCCTCCAGTCTCAGCCTCCTGAGTGCTGAAATCACAGGTGTGTGCTACTACGCCTGGCTATGCACAGTATGTTGGGGCAAGGTGGACAAGCTGGTCCTTCGTCGGCTTTTCTGCTCAGGTGGTAGCGGCTGGAGGAGGAGCTGACTAACATACATGCTGTCCGTCTACACCAGCATGTCCTGTTCTGTGTGCCTTCCACATGCTGGTTACAGTCGGGAATTAGAACCTCAGTAGAAACTCCCCTGAAACCATTTGTTACCATGATGAATAGAAACAATTTCAAAACACTGCAGTTATCATATTCTCCGGACCTCATGGATCAAACACTAAAATTTCAGCTAACAGCCAGGCATGCAGGCTGAGACAAGAGGATGGCAATAAGCTCAAAGCCAGCCTGGGCTACATAGTGAGACCCTTTTTTTTGGTTCCAGGAATCAAACTCAGGACCTTGAGTTGCCAGGCAGGTGCTTGTGCTGCTGAGCTATATCCCTTGCAACCCTGTTTCAAAAAAAAAAACCAAAAAACAAAAAAAAAAACAAACAGCCTTCAGGTACAAACCTGTTATCCCAGCACTTGGGAGGCTGAGGTAGAATTCAAGGCCAGCCTGAACTATATAGCTAGCCCCTGTCTCCAAAACACAAGAAATTTTAAAATCTAAAAAAATAAAGTCTCAGGTAAATGTCATCTTATCCCAAGGTAGCATTTCCCCTGCAAAGGCCTTTTCTCCCCTAAACTCCCCATCCTTCCTCTCCTCACCCTGCTCTACCTGAAGATCTCAGCTGATGACAACCCCTGCCCGCCAGGCATGGAGCCCAAGTACCTGAAATTCCCACGCCTTTCCTTGTTTTCCCCTACACATCCTCAGCAAATCCTCTGGGTTCTGCCTTGAAATATATCCACAATACACTTACAAGGCCTGATCAAAACCTCCAGAAGGGGAAAAAACTCCAGAGAATGTTTAATTATTATTTTTGAGACAGGTTCTATATCATCTGGGCTGGACTTGAGCTCACTGTGTAGCCCAGGCTGGCCTTGAACTCACAGTGATCCTCCTGCCTCAGCCTCCCGAGTGCTGGCATTACAGGTGTGCGTTACCAAGCCCAGACTCCAGAGAATGTTTAAACATAAAAAATTTATTACAGTAAGACGCACTGTCATTACTGCCCCTCAAAACCTTCCCCCTGGCCCCAAACACACATCCCATAGTTCTTCTGCTTTCTGAAGCAGTTCTGGAGGTTCTCTTTCATGAGGGTCTCTAGTTGTGCTCTGTGGCTGCCCTGATGTCCTGCATCAATCACAACGTTTAGCTTCAGTAGTTATTTTGACTCTGGGGAGGAGCCAGATGTCACAGGTGCGAGGTCTGGTGACTAAGGTGGGTGAGGACACATCGTCGTGTTTGTATGAGCTGCCTTTCTGCTGGACGGCGCTCAGTACCAGCATTCACTGTACTTCTGATCACATCACATAAGGCACTCACGAAAGAAGAAGAATAGTACCCCTCACTCAGAAGAAGAAGACACCCATGGGGCAGGTTTAGAGAAACCTGGAGAAAAACAAAACCTGAGCCAAGCATGGTGGCACATGCCGACGACCCGGGCAGCTGAGGCATAAGGGTCACAAGTTTGAGCCAAATCTGGGCAACTTAGCAACTTATCAAGACCCCGCCTCACCATTAAAATTTTGCCAGGCATGGTAGCACATCCCTATAATCCCAGCACTGGGAGGCTGAGGCAGGAGGATCACCGTAAGTTTGAGGCCAGTCTGGGCCACATAATGAGTTCAAGGCCAGCCTGAACTGCACAGTCAGGTCCGTCTGAAAAAGTACAAAGTGTAAAACATTTTCAAAGGGCTGAGAGTGCAGTTCAGTGCAAAAGCCCTGCCTTCGATCCCTAGTATTTCCTGGAAAGCTCCAGGTCCTGAGTTCAATTCCCAGAACCAAAAAGCAAAAAAACAAAAAACGGTCCCTAGTACTGAAAAGAAAAGCAACCAAAAAGGCTAGGAAAGGGAGCCCAGGGTAGGAGGTATGGCCAGAGGGCATAAACACAAAGACCATCATTTTCTCAGCATAGATTTTTTTTTTTTTTTTTTGGTACCGAGAGTAGAACTCAGGACCTTAGGCTTGCCGGGCAGGTGTTTATGCCGCTGAGCTATACCCCTGGCCCCTCAGTACTGAATTTGAGGTACTGATAAGGCTGCTTCCCACTGCTGTAACAAAACAGCTATATAAAGAAAAGCAGTTTAAACCAGGCATGGTAGTGCACACCTGTAATCCCAGCACTCAAGAGGCTGAGGCAGGAGGATCGTTGCGAGTTTGAGACCAGCCTGGGCTACAAAGTGAGCTCAAGGCCAGCCTGAATTGCAAAGAGAAACCCTGTCTCAAAAAAAAAGAAAAAGAAAAAAGAAAAACCTCACTGTGTAGCCCAAACTGGCCTTGAACTCTCAGTGATCCTCCTGCCTCTGCCTCCTGAGTGCTAGGTATACAGGTGTGCACCACCATCCTGGCTAAGACTTTAGATATGAATTAAAACAATAGCTTAAAAATAATGGGGAGAAGCCAGATATGGTGCACCCTGGGAGGCTGAGGCAGGAGGACTGCAAGTTTCAGCCCTACCTGGCAATTTAGAGAGACTTTAACTCAAATATCAGAATGAATGATGAATGAGCGAACATGGTGTATCCATGTACAGGATACTGCTGAGCTAACAAGGAAGAAAGCATGGGCACCACTACAAGGACGCAGCTCACTTTTTCTTTGAGTACTGGGGATCCAATCCAGGGCCACTCTACCACTGAGCTACATCCTCAGCACTTTTTATTTCTTAATTTGGGCCCAGGTCTCACTTAATTGCCCAGGCTGGCCTTGAACTTGCCATTCTCCTGCCTCAGCCTCCCAACCAGGCGGGATCATAAGTGTGCACCATCTCACCAGGGCCCCCCTTCACTTCAAGGCTGTGCTGATCATTGCTTCTTTCACTTCCCATCTGCAGTCAGCAGCTTCCCCGAGGAGCCCACCATGGTGCCTGGTCTGGAGATGGCCTCACGTGTTTCTTACTTCCACTTTCACTGACTACTGGAGTGGAGGTTCTCCTCCCGTGGTAACAGGCCTTCCTGTCCTTTCGGCCACTTCCGGTCCACCCTGTTTCTCCCTGTCAGGCCGCAGCCTCCCTCTCCTCAGGAACAGCAGCGGCCCCTGAACACCATGTTCAAGTGCTGGGCCGAGTGCCGTCCTCAGAATTACTCCTCAGGGGCTGACATTTAAAAGAGGCCAGCAGGGCAGTACAGGTCAGTGGTGGGACACCTGCCCAGGATAGGAGGCCCTGGGTTTGATCCCCCACCACACACACACATAAAAATCAATTCATAAAAAATAAGAGGTCCAAGTATTCAGGAACCCTTTGGCTTATGGTACCTCCCCCACCCCCAGCCTGCAAAGGGGCTTGCTATTGTAGCCCAGGCTGCCCTCATACTCATGTTGATCCTCCTGCCTCGGCCTCCTGAGTGCTGGGGTTACGGGAGTGCACTAGCCCGCCTGGCTCAAGGTTCTTCTAACAACTCAAGTTTCATCCACCCCAGCGTTTTCCCTCCTCGGCCCCTCCTGCCCTCAGCCCCTGCGCCAACCTCCACGGCAGCGCCTGCACTCCAGCGGCCACATCAAGTCTCTCTGGTGTCCTCGATATGTTCCCGGTGGCGAGATCGCTTTTCTCACTCCGTGTCCTATGACCACCTCCCTACCGCTCCTCTTGCTCCAATTTCTTCTCTGCCTCCTGCCTGAGCGCTTGGATTCTATTTTTGTTTCACAACTGGAACCCAAACCAACCTCTCCACTTAGGCACTAGGAATGCGCTTTTATTATCCATTAACTGAACCAGACCCTAGTTGGGGATGTGACGCACACTTGTAATCTCAACTACTCAAGAGGCTGAAGCAGGAGGATCACAAGTTGGAGGTCAGAGCCAGGGATGTAGCTCAGCAGCACAAGTGTCTGCCTGGCAAGTGCAAGATCCTGAGTTCAATTCCAAGTACCAAAACAAACAAAAAAAAAAGTTTGATGTCAGTCCAGGTAACTTAGTGAGACACTCTCAAAATTTAAGGAAAAAGAAAACTTTTTTTAAAGGGCTGAGGATACAGTGCAATGGTAGAGTGTTTGCCCAACAGAGGCCCTGGATTCAATGCTCAACACCACACACACACACACACACACACACAGGTTAAAAAAAAAGGAAATGTATTTTCCAATTTCGTTTGGCACTATTTGTCATTGTGAGTTGTATTTTTCCCACAATGTTGACACTGCCACACATATTCACAAATCAAAAGTTAAAGATAACCACATGAGCTAGGCGTGGTGGTGCACACCTGTAATCCCAGCACTCGGGTGGCTGAGGCAGGAGGATCGTTGCAAGTTCAAGACCAGTTTGGGCTACAAAGAGAGCTCAAGCCAGCCTGAACTGCACAGTGAGACCCTGTCTCAAAAAGACAAACAAGCCAACAACAAAAAAGATAATCACATGAATGCAAGAGGCATTTCCTTTCAATCCTATGTGTTTTGCAAGATAGGCTAAAAGTAGATTAGAAAAAGGGTTTCATATCCAAATTCCAATTCTAAAAAAAATCGTTGGCAATAAGCAAACCCATAATCAGATAAAACTGCCAAGGGCAATTATCCTGCGGGGTTCTACTGTCATCAAAGTTGGAGGTCAGTCCTGGGCGATGATACAAATGTCAACAACCACGCACCTTTGACACTATGTTCCCACGAACCCTGTTGTCCCAGGGACTCCTGCTCTTCAGGAAGATGGGCTGGGAACACGAGAAAAGTGTCCACCCAGTTTCTCAACTTTTTTTTCCCCTGAGATAGCGTCTTGCTATGCAGTTCAGGCTAACCTCGAACTCCCGGCGATTCTCCTGCCTCAGCCTCCCGAGTGCTGGGATTACATGTGTGCGCCACCAAGCTTGGCTCTGGGTAACTTTGAAAGTGCTGCCTCATCGGAGAATGTGAGTGCCGAACTGCCTTCAGGAAAGCGATCTCGTCTTTCACAGACCCCGGCCCACTTGCCAAGCCCACGGGTGGCCAGCCCGAGGTGCTTCTCGAAAGGGACTTCGCCGGGTCCTAATGTCAGAGGCAAATTCACCCAGGTGTCTGGTCCCACACAGAGAAATGAACCTGATGGTCTACCCCGGGGGCCGCAGCATGGACTTTCCCCACCACCTTGTGGGACAAGGTGGAGTCCCCAATGACTCCGCTAGGGACGGGACTCGGGGGTCCGGGGGAGAGGCTTACCACCGCCTCACGACCACACGGCCCCAGTCCTCGAGGAGACGACTGCGGCCCGGACGCCAGCGAGGGGAACACGGTGGCCGCGCTCTCATTGGCTGCAGGAACCGGAAGTGGGTGCGTCAAGCGGAAGTGCTCCTCTGCGCTGTCCGGCGGTGCGGGGGCCCTCAGGTAGGCGGGGCCCCTGGTTGGAAAGTCTGGGGCCCGCGGGAGGGCGGGAGGCGGACGCGGCCCGGACTGCCCGGGGGGCTGCCCTGGCTCTGATCGGGGAGGATGTTTTGGGGGTGGGGGTTCACGATCAGCGCTGGCGGCCGTCGGGGCCTGGTCAGGCGCGGCCGCGCGGGACCCGAGCGCGGGAGGCTCCGGTTCTCCCGCGGAGCCCGGCTCTGCGGCCGCGGCTGGGGCTGCTTCCTGCCCGGTCCCGAGGGTCGCGGCCGGACGCTCCCCCGGGAGGAGGTGTGCGCTGGGCTTGACAGCGGCCCCGAGGGCGCGGCCGGGCGTCTCCCGAGGAAAACGTCCGAGAGGCCGCCCCGCCCGCCGCGCGGGGACGCAGGGTGTGTTCCGGGGACGTTGCGCTTCTCCGGCCGTGCGGGCCGCGCTCATACCCGGCGAGTGCGAGTCTGTTCGGGCCGCCCACACCGCCCGGGCGCAGGAGCCTCGCGCCTGCCGGTCCCGCCGAGCCGCGGCCCTTTCCTCCAGGTGACGATCCCGGAACTTCAGCAGTCGGAGGGAGGTGCGGTTTGACAGCGTCCACACCGCGCAGAAGTTCAGAGTTCGAGCAGACAGGGGCGCCGCACAGAGCGCCCCCGCCCGGGGTGCTGGCGACTCGGGTCTGTCTGGGCCCCCTCTCCAGCACCGGGTTAAGGCTTTTCAAGTACCTCGATCTTCCCTGAAATAGCTTTGCTTTTCAGATTTCATGAACGTTAGGAATGGCTTAGGGGTAAGAGTGTATCCCTAGCGTGCAGGAGGCGCTGGGTTCAATCCCCAGCACCCCAAAAATAAATAAAATGTTGAGCTTTATATACTTGATGCAGTTATCAAGTGTCTGTTGTATATTAGGTGCAGGGAGGAAAACCACACCCATTTTCTGCTTTCCGAATTTAGTCAGGAGACGTTAGTGTGAGATGCTAAAATTACAGGCGTGTAATCTATGGTAAAAATAAGAGCTCATGAGAATACGATGTGGAATACAGAAGAAGCAGGCAATTCTCGTTCATTTACTAATTATTTATCCAGTACATTTTATCTGTCTGGGATTGTGCTAGAAAGAAAAGGTAGCACCGGGTGTGGTGGCACAGGCCTGTGATCCCAGCACTCGGGAGGCTGAGGCAGGAGGATTGTTGCAAGTTGGAGACCAGCCTGGGCTACAAAGTGAGCTCAAGGCCAGCCTGAACTGCATAGTGAGACTGTCTCAAAAAGACCCCCACTAAAAAAAAAAAAGAAAAGAAAAGGTAAAGTAGGAGGAAATCAGAGCCCTTAAGAAGACATTTGAACTAGACCTTGAAAAATGAACCGAGTTAAAAAAAAAAAAAAAAAAAAAACAAGAGAAAAATGAACTGAGCTTGAGAGTAAAAGAGGCTTGATAGAGACGGATGTAAGGGCTGCAGGTGTAGCTTGATGGTCATGTTATCAGGTAGCTCCTTCTAAAAGTGCCCCACCCACTGTCTTGGTGACTTTTCTCTCTTGCTGAGACAAAATACCCAACGCCCAAAATGAAGGAAGGAAAGGTTTGTTTAGCTCACCATTTGTGGAGGTTTCAGCTGGCTCCGAGGCAGAGTGGCACAGCAACAAGAGCAAAGTGGGGAATGGCAGTGCGTGCAGGTCTCCTTCCCTTCCTTATATTGGAAGAAGGCTACCCCCACCCAGAGGGCGGCACTCACATAGTTGACCTTCTAAACTTCTCTTTTTTTTTTTTGAGACAAGGTCTCTCTATGCAGTTCAGGCTGGCCTTGAACTCACTTTGTAGCCCAGGCTGGTCTCGAACTGGCAACGATCCTCCTGCCTCAGCCTCCCAAGTGCTGGGATTACAGGCGTGTGCCACCACGCCCGGCTCTTCTAAACTTCTCACATTGACACAGTGAACAACATCCTAGAGCAGGAAGGGCATGTCCTTTGCACACCAGGATGTAGAACTACTGAGTCACTTAGCCAAACCTCTAGACTCCCCAAGTTGACACCATGTACCAAGCATAACGTAACCTGTTTCGGTGTTGCTGGCCTCTTTCTGGAGTTAGATTCCAGGTTCTCAGCCAAACAAAGAATTGAACAGGAGCACAAAGCACCGGCAAAGCTTATTCAATAAAGCAGAAGTGAAGAGTGGGGGAGAAACTGGCCCTGCAGACTGGGCTTGGGCAGAGTACAGAGAAAACGAGGGTAAAAGCACAGATAAAAGAGCAAGCTGTGTCTGGAAAGCAGCTGTCCTGGAAAGCGCTGCTCTTTCTGCTGCCTTTCTTTTATGCTGTCCGAATCTCCAGGAAACCCGAGAACCTAACAATGGGGTCCTGAGAGGTGGTGCGGGGATCCTATCTCTCAGGCTGACCTCAGGTCTAGGCCATACTGTTGAAAACCTGCTGGACCTGGAGAAGTCCATGTGCAGAGCTTTGGAAACTTCTGCGCATGTGGCTGGGATCTTGTAAATAACAGGTTACGCCCACTTCCCTAGCCATCTTCTGTCATGCCCTAATCTCCTGTCTCAGTGGCACTGCACTTAGCATGCCTAAGGCCCTTGGTTCAACCCCCAGCACCAAGAGAAAAAAGTTAACATTTAGATTAGAGTACGAAAAAATTTTTTTCAGTATATTGGCTGGGGGATATATATCTCCCTGTATTGCATTCCTAGCATGCATGAAGCACCACAAAAATAGAAAAGAAAAAAAAAAAACAGGAAAAGTTAAATTTCAAGGCACAAATCTTTTTCCCCAAAATTTTCCCAGTGGGCTAGGGATATAGCTCAGTGGCACAGTACTAGCCTTGGAAGCATGAGGTCATGAGTTCCATTCCCGGTACCATCAAAAAAAAAAAGAACAAACAAATTTTTCCCAGTGTTGGTGATCAAATCCAGAGCCTTGGACACCCTAGACGAGGACTCTTATTTTTGAGCTACAACCCTAACCCACACACTGCCTTGCGACCAGCGGGAGGGATTTTTAGCCAGGCATGGTGGCACACACCTGTAATCCCAGCACTTGGGTGGCTGAGGCAGGAAGATCACTATGATTTCAAGGCCAAGCTAAGGGTAACTGGTGTCTTCGAGGCCAGCTTTGGCAACATATGAGATCTTCTTTCAGAAACAAAACAAAGCAAAGCAGAGATTTTTAATGAAACCTTACAAACATTCTCAGTTTAATTCAGAAGAGAAAGTACAAAAGAATAGACAAGGATTTTGGAGATAAAATTGTAAATTATCAGTTGTCAAAATATATCAGTGATAAAGCTATTACTTAAATAGCATGAAAAATGCCTTAGGACCAGCAAATTATGAGTGAAACAGACTTGATGCAAGGAATTGGGCTTATAAAAGGTGGCTGAGCGATGAATAAACTGATTTGAATGGAGTAGCATATACAAGAATTCTGGTACTTGGGAAAGTGAGGCAGAAGGATTGCTTGAATCCAGGAGTTTGAAATTCCCTAGGCAACATAGTAAAACTTCCTCTCATAGACAGACATGATATGCATGCCTGTGATCCCAGCACTCCGGAGGCTGTGGCAGGAGGATCACCATGAGTTCAAGGCCAGCCTAGGCTATATAGTGTGTTCAAGGCATACCTGAAGTACATAGCAGACCCTGTCTCAAACAAAACAAAACAAAAAGAATGAAAAAACCTTCCTCCCACTAAAAGAAAAAGAAAAAAGAAAAGAAAAGCCCGGTGTGATGGCATCTGCTTGTAATTACAGCACTTGGGAGGCTCAGACAGAAGGATTACTGTGAGTTCTAGGCGAGCCTGGGCTACATAGCGAGACCCTGTCTCAAAAGTAAATAATAAATAGGGTTGGAGATGTAGTTCAGTGATAGAGAACTCCAGGTTTGGTCCCAAGTTCTCTTTCTCCCCCTCAAAAGAATGCCCTTATCACAAGTTAGGAAAATGTGCTTCAGCAGGATCATACCAGGAGCATTTTGAGACCTAGAATGTACTTATAAAATGAAAAAGAATACTATGCTATATTATGTGGATTTATTTTATAAATCTTTTTTTTTTTTTTCCTTTTTGAGACAGGGTCTCACTATGCAGTTCAGGCTGGCCTTGAGCTCACTTTGTATTGCAGGCTGGTCTCGAACTCACGTGATCCTCCTACCTCAGCCTCCTGAGTGCTGAGATTACAGATGTGTGCCACCACTCCCGGCCATTATAAGTCATTTCATAAAGCAAAGTCACATCTAGATTATTCCTTTACCAGCTGTGGTAGTGCATACCCGTAATCCCCTTGAACTGCGTAGTGAGACCCTGTCTCAAAAAGACAAATCAAACAAACAAACAAACACCACTATTCCTTTATAAATCTGTGTGTTCATCTACCAAATTTGTTTTAAGTAAGATAGGACCAGTAGCCAAGACGTGAGAATTTGTCAAGTCAGTCAGGAAGACTTAGCAGCCTAGTGTTAGCGTGCTTTCCCAGCAGGCCCAGACCTAGCTTCTGTCCCTGCACTGCGACATGGGAGCGAAGACTCAAAGACTCAGGCAGTTTGGTGGGGTGTTACTACTGTGTGAGTTTAAAGTAGAATCCCTAAGCTGAGATTGTTATTTATTTGTATAATATCTTTCCCACACCTGGAACTAAGAAAGAATATAGCCTTAAATTTAAATTTGATTTAAATTTAACTAATTTTAAATCACACTGATCTCTTCAGAGCAACAAACATATTTAGTGTCAGGTTTATTGTTTTACAGAGATTAGAATGGCTTCCAGAGGAAAGACAGAGACGAGCAAGTTGAAGCAGAATTTAGAAGAGCAGCTGGACAGACTCGTGCAGCAGTTACAGGACCTGGAGGAGTGCAGGTAATGGCAGGACTGTGTGCTCTGACACTGGTGAGCGGCTTCTCTCTGGGGTTGGGTTGTGGCCTTCACCAACCAGCACCCTGTGTGATTTGCATCTCCCTGCAGTATTTCTCACAGTGCTTTGTCTTTTGTAGAAGTAAACTCAGAACAGGCGTTAGAGTCCAAAAGCCTGGGCTGTGAAAGTCTCATAAGTCCTTACTAAGTGCCTGTGGACTTTGGCAAAATACTTCTTCTCGTCGTCAGTGATAGGCTGGGCTGCCTGGGCGCACTCCTGAGGCCTGGCTTCAGCCTGGATGCCTCACAGGACCAGCCGGAGCTGTGGCTGAGGCTCAGCGCTGGAGCAGGTACTTAGCACACCTGAGGCCTGGGTTTCACTCCTCAGCGCCAAAAGTGAAAAAAGAAACAGTGCTCGTTGTAGCTTTGAAGAGCCTGCAGTGAGGGCCGGAGGTATAGCTCAGTGGCACAAGCGCCTGCCTGGCAAGTGCAAGATCCTGAGTTCCATTCCTGGTACCAAAAAAAAAGAGCCTGCGGTGAATACGACACCTCAGTAGGCATTGCGGTGCTTGGCTAGAGGAGGTGCTCAGTGAGGGGGGCTCTGTAAGAGGGAGCTGTTGATACTTGGAGTAAATATTTAATAATAAAAATATTATCTCACTCTGATGACAAAGACTGCATTTGTAGGGGACACAAACTCTTTCCCACCATTAGCGATCATGAAGATAACAATAGCTATTTATCAAGCCTCCATTACTGTGTATGCCAGGCATGTTCCTTGTCTCGTTTATTTTATTTGTTGTTGTTGTTGTTGTTGTTTTTCCAGTACCAGAAATCGAACTCATGACCTCGTGCTTGTCAGACAGGCGCTATGCCGCTAAGCTAAATCTCCAGCCCCTTCCTTGTCTCATGTAATGATCACAGCAACCCTATTAGATGGGTACTATAGCTTCCAAGAGCTTTATAGATAAACTGAAGTTACTACCTCGCCCAAGGCCATACTGTACACTTCGGGTGTCGCCAAGTGCAGCATTGCACACCTGTCCTCTCCGTGCTCTGGGCGGCTTAGGCTGGTGGATAGAAAGTTCTGGAGCCAACCCCGGGCAACTGAGCAGGCTAGTGAGACCCTGCCTCAAAATAAAAGTAAGTAAGAGGGCCAGAAGCTGGGGGCAGCGGTTCATCGGATAAGTGCCATCACTGGGGGAGTGGCTGTCGCTGAGGAGGGGGGCAGCTCCGAGCCCTGGGGCCCCCACAGCAGACACAGCAAAGGACACAGAACAGCAGCTGGAGGCTGGGCCAGGACACACCCTGGTGTCTCAGAGCCGGAAGCCCAGAATCTCCACCGCAGCAGCTCAGCCTCCATTCCGGGGCTCTTCGGTAGTGGTGTTTTTTACCTTACTCTTGGCTGCTCCAAATCCACCTTAGAAATAAGCCAGGCAAGCTGGGAACATGCCTGTAGTCCCTGCACTTGGGAGGCTGAGGCAGGAGAACTGCCTTGAGTTCAAGGCCAGTCTGAGCTACATGAAATACATTCAAAGCAAGCCTGAGCTGTGCAGTGAGACACTGTCTCAAAAAATACCTATAAGTAAAATAAAAATAAAAGGACTGGGAATGTATCACTCAGTCCGAAGGCCTGGGTCCAAGCCCTAATACTGCCCCCCACAAAAGAATTTATTGTATCTTTGTTAAATATGACTGATTTTGGTGAAAGAAAAATGCTTTACTATCAAACTGAACACATTGCAAGAAAACGACCACGGTCATGCTGCAGCTCTGGAAACATCTATCGCTGGCGTTGTGCTGTTTCCCTTCATCCTTTCTCTGGCAAGCGCTGAGATTGCTTTCTCCCGGGGAACCTATTCTTCCCCCTCTGTGTTCACTTTGCCTCAGGGAGGAACTTGACACGGATGAGTACGAGGAGACCAAAAGGGAAACTCTGGAGCAGCTGAGCGAGTTTAATGATTCACTGAAGAAAATCATGTCTGGGAATATGACGCTGGTGGACGAGCTCAGCGGAATGCAGCTGGTAAGCAGGGCCTTCGCTTCCCTTTCCCCTCAGTACCTACATACGAATCTTTCTCATAGAAAGCGCTCCCCTCTTGGGCGTGACTTCCTGGTGAATGTCCACTTTCTGCACACGAGGGCAGGTCTTTCTGCGTTTGGCTCCGGGGAAATGCACAGAAATAGAAAATGAGAACTGATTTTGTAACAGCCTTGACGAACAAAGACCCATTCATGCCGCCCGGCCAGTCAGTGATCGCAGATCTGACCCGCTGGAATGTTTGGGTTAGCTTTTGCCTTCCTGTGTTTCTAGGCTATTCAGGCGGCCATCAGCCAGGCCTTCAAAACCCCAGAGGTCATCAGATTGTTTGCAAAGAAGCAGCCTGGTCAGCTTCGGACAAGGTTAGCAGAGGTAAAGTTTCTTTAATTGATCAGGTCACTGTGTGTGTTTTTTTTCATAGCCTGAGAACTTGCTCGTTGTGATAGCCTACATGTTAAAAATTAGTCAGTTGATTTTAGATCCACAACCCCCAATTTTCTGACAAAATCATCACAATTATAGGTGATAATGACTGTAGATGTTTAAACTTCATGTGGCAGTTTCAATTACCTCTGACCACATGGACTTGGACTCCACCTTTGATAACTCTTTTGAGATAGGGTCTGGCTATGCAACTTAGGTTGCCCTTAAACTCACTGTCTAGCCCCAGCTGGTTTCAAACTCACAGCAATCTTCCTGCCTCAGCCTCCAGACTCCTCTTTCAGTGTTTTATCGTTTGCTTCTGGAGCCCTGACTTGAGATCCCGCTGAGAGTTCGTTAGCAGTACTGTCTCCTATAAGAATCTGAGGTGTCCATTATAAGCTTGATGCTTCCAGAGGGCTGCTTCTAGATGCGCCTGTAACCAAGGACTAGCAAGTTATTTGCACCTGCAGGTGACTCACTGGCACAGGGAAAAAGATCTGGGTCAGACTGGCTGGATTTGAACCCTGTTGCATCAACAGGAGTATGTGACCTTCAGCAAGTTGTTTATTCAACTTCTCTGTAGCTCAGTTTCCCTCCCCATGAAAAGGTGACAATAATAGTGCTATCTCCTGTGGTTGTCATGAGGGTTAAACGAAGTACCCTATGTGAAAGCGCTGAGAAGCCACGTACTGAGGTGTGCTGCCAGCTAATCAGGAGTCTGAGCCAAGACGATTGCTTGAACCCAGAAGTTTGAAGCCATCCCAGGCAACATAGGAGACTGTAACTTGCTGCCTCCTTCGAAGCTCTGGATATTCCCAGAAGGAAAAACAGCTGGGGATTAGGGAATACAGAGAGGAGGGGGCTGGGGATTTAGCTCAGCGGCACAGTGCCTGCCTGCCAAGCGCGAGGTCGTGAGTTTGATTCCCAGTACCAGGGGAAAAAAGAGAGAGAAATACAGAGAAGAAAACTGAGATTAGGTGGAGCCCTGTCTCTCCTGATGGGAAGAAAGGAACTGCTCAACCACTGTAGCCTGTTTGTTTATACTCACAGGAGGTTGATGTCCATTTCAGGAGCTACACCCCCAACCCTGTCTGTTTTGTATTGTGAGACAAGTCTCACCAATTCTCTCAGGCTGGCTCCCATATTTGATCCTCCTCCCTCAGCCTTCCGGGGTGCTGAGATTCCAGCTGAGTACCACCACACCTCACATTTCTGTAATTCTTTTTCTTTTTTTTTTTTTATTTTAAAGATAAAAGGAGGGAAACATTAACAGACATACAACATTTTACAACATATCACAAGCACAATACAGACAATACAGAGTTACAAACAAAGTGGTAGGGAATTAACAATGGTGGTTGTATTACATATTGATATCTTCAAAGTGGCTTCTCGTGAAAACAGATATAAACATTCAATACTGGTCAACCAAAGACTCATTGTAATTCTTTTTCTTGAGACAGGGTCTCACTATGTAAATCAGGCTGGCCTTCAACTTACTATGTAGCCCAGGCTGGCCTTAAGCTGGTGGTGATCCTCTTGCCTCAGCCTCCCCAGTGCTGGGATGACAGGTGTGCACCACCACACCAGCCTATAATTCTTCGTACTACTTTTTTTAGTTTGTAGTACGTAATGATTGCGTTCATCATGGGAAGTTGGCACATGGACATCTTCATTCCTTTGTCATCCCCTCGCCCCCTTCTGTCCCCTTCTTTCTTTGTAATACAAATCAAGTGAGCAGTTTAGGAAGGAAAGCTGGAGAGCCGATGCCGTGCACTGGAGGTTTCTCTCACCATGTGCCTGCATCCCTCCCTGTAGATGGACAGAGACCTGATGGTGGGCAAGCTGGGAAGAGACCTGTACACTCAGCAGAAGGTGGAGATCCTCACAGCCCTCCGCAAGCTCGGAGAGAAGGTACTGCACTTAGCCGACTGGATCAGGCGTGGGAAAAGCGGGGCATGTTTGTTGCGAACTTCTGACCTGCGCTCTAGGTTCTGCCCCCTGAGACATTCCTAACTATGGTCCCTGCAACCCCACGTGACGTCTGAACCTGTCCCCTGGGCTCTGTCTCGTTTTGCTTAGCTGACTGCCGATGACGAGGCCTTCCTGTCTGCGAATGCAGGTGCTGTCCTCAGCCAGTTTGAGAAAGTCTCCTCGGACCTCGGTGAGTGCCCTCCTGTTCCCGCCCGCTTCTTTATTTTTTGTAATTTTTATCAGCGCCTTTGAGATACATGATCACACTCACCGAGGGGAGTCAGTGCGCATGCGTAGCCCATCTCAGTCCTTTTACTCCCCTCCCCCTCCATCTTTTGGTTCCCTTCCCATTTGCAAAAGTCTGCCTCGCTGCTTCCCGCTAGCGATCATGTACTTTGCTCTTTAATGTACCTGTGCTCTGGGTTTCTTACCTAGGAGAAACCACGGGATATTTAAGCCTGAGTGTCTGACTCAGGATAAGTAAGTCTCGGGGGCTGCCCACGTGTCCATCAGCAGATGCAGGGGTGAAGGAACGGTGGTTTTTTAAATTTGTTTATCTGTTTGCTTTTGGTGCCGCTGATAACTGAAATTGAGGGCTTCCTGCTGCTGAGCAGAGCTGCACCGATGAACACCTGCCCTGCCGCTGCCTCGCCCGGCCGCCCCTGCTCTCCATTGACTGAGAGCGAGTTAGAGTCACGTGGTGACGTTTTTTGATTTACAGTGACATCAGAATTGATTATTTTCTTTATAAATCCTTTGTGTTGGTTTTATTTCCCAACATTTTTTAAATTATTAATTTAAAATAATTGAATTATACAGAATTAAATTATGCAGCCTAATTTTTGTTCTTAATAATATTTGTCTATGCTTTTTTTTTTTTGTCTTTTTGAGACACAATCTTGCTATGCAGTTCAGGCTGTACTTGAGCTCACTTTGTAACCGAGGCTGGTCTTGAACTCACAATGATCCTCCTGCCTCAGCCTCCCGAGTGCTAGGATTACAGGCGTGCGCCACCACACCTGGCTTTGTCTGTTTTGAAGTGAAGTGTCGCTGTGTTTCCCAGGCCAACCTCCAACCCCTGGACTCCAGGGACCCCAGCCTCACTTCCTCACTTCCTGCGGGGGCCAGGATCGTGGGCATGTGCAGCTTTGCTACCTCAGATTTTCAAGTCTTTGTCTGCCAGGCATAACTGTGGAAGTAAACTGGGAGTTTGTTCTGTTTCGTATCTACAGCTGGAGTTAGCGTTTGTAACCAAGAAGCCTCTCGCTGTGGCTGGCTTGCTTGTACTGAGGGGAGCGGGGATGGCCATGGGAAGTACAGGGGTCGCCGTGTTGACAGTGGTGGCTAATTCTGTTCCCCCCTCTCTGTGTGGGTTTGCACATTGCATATTTGTTGGAAATAACCTTTTATTATGTGTCTCTCTGTTAGGCTCCGGAGACAAAGTCCTCGCTCTGGCAAGTTGTGAGGTTGAAAAAGCAAAAAAATGACCTGGTTTGGCAGCCGGCGACATCGATCACATTCTCACTGCAGATGGCGGGTTTCTCCTGAGGACGCTGAGTCACCGCAGCGAGCGGAGATTCTCCACATCATTACACTCTCAGAACGGGTGACAGAACAGCACAGTGGCCTCCGCCACGCGGCATGCTGCTCTGTGTGGGCTCCGTGCTGAGCGACCCGGCCGCGGTGGGATGGAGGGACTCGCTGGACCCGCTCCTTACGATCTGTCTGTTCGCGAGGGAAACATAAAATGACTTCTCTGTTTTTACGAAGACTCCTTGATTCTCAGTGCTGGTGCTGGAGGAAGCGAGGGAGCCGGGACGCTTCTGTCCTCACCTGTCTCCCTCCCTAGCTTGAACAGCGCCGCAGCATCGCTAGACCGAGTTCTAGTTCCTGGAAGCTGAGGCTCTCAGCGACCTCACAGATCACTTCCACTGACACTCAGGGCAGGCGAGGCGGGGAGGGTGAGCTGGCCGGGCACGCGCGAGGCCCCGGTGCAGTTCCCGGTAGAGCAGAAAAATTCAAAAGAAGAAGAAGAAAGGGCAAATCAGGGCTTTGCTTAACAGCACGTTAGAGCAGGGACCGGGAGAGAAGTCAGGCGTCCTGACTCTCACTTTATTACCGCTTTAATTTTATTTCATTCTTCTGTAATGCTCTAAAAAAGTAATTAACTTGTACTTGAGCAAGTCAGCGTCTCTGAGAATTGGATGCCCGACCCAGAGCTCACTGGGCACCAAGGGACGCCCCTGCCCGGGAGCCGGCATGAACGGGGCCGTTGTGTCCCAGGTTTCTGCCTGGGAACAGTGGCGCCCTGTCGAGTCTCCCAGTAACTGACCCTCCTGCGTGGTTCTGCTTCCCAGGGCAGCAGCAATAGGAAGTGGCAACCAGAGGCCTCCTGGGCCTGACCTGCCAGGCGGAGAGGGCACCGCCAGCGGCTGTTTGCTCTGCAGCGTCGCGGGCGCACAAGTGAGCTCTGAGGAAAAGGTTTCTCTTGGGCTGTCCATGTCTCCCTGCGTGATTAGCGCACAGACATGTCCTGAGCTTGTGCATTAGTGCGTTTCCTAAGCTTTGGCTGTCCTGTATTCTTCCCTGTGTTTGTCTGTGTTATTTTTCTTTTGCACTCTATACAAGTTCAGACAATTTTAATGCTTCCTGTATACTGTAAATTCTACTAGGTACTTTGCCATCTAGACAGATGAGAGGACCTCAGCTACATTAATGCCTTATTGGGAATTTTGAACATTTTTCTGTTGTTTTTTTGTATTCTTTTTGAAGAGTCTTATTATGTTGCCCACACTGGCCTCGGATTCCTGGGCTCAAATGATCCTCCTGCCTCAGCCTTCTGAGGAGCTGGGACCACAGGCATGTGCCACTGCCCTCAGCTAATGGGTTATTTGAGGGAGGGGTTGCTTTTTTTTTTTTTGGTACCGGGAATCAAACTCAGGACCTTGCGCTTGCCAGGCAGGCACTTGTGCCGCTGAGCTATATCCCCTGCCCTGGGGGGGTTACTTTTTATACCGGTTAATGACCATAAAAAACTCACTGAGACCTGGTGATGTAACAGGAGCAAGACCTTGGGTTCAGTCCTTACTGCAGCATCCAAAACAAAATCACCAAAATTGTGACAAACCGAGAAAAACCAAATTACCCATGATTCATCAAGAGCTTTATGTCATTACCATTATTTCATTGTTGTGTGTGGGTCTGCTGGAAGTGAAATCTCACAACTGCAGTGTAGCGCTTCACAGTGTGCAAGTGAGTGGTGATGTTTCTGCTCACAGTGCAGCCCTCACCAGTGTCCCATCCGAAACCTCCATCAGCCCCAGGGGCACCCTCCCACCCCGCTGAGCACTTCATCTCCGTTCTCTTCTCCCACACGTCTCCGACGGTGGCTTACCCTACTCTGGGCATTGCAGACAGATGGGCTTGTCCAGGATGCCACCTTCCTGTGTGTCCGGCTTCTCTCTAGCAATCTGTTTTCAAAGTTAACCCACACTTGGGGCCCGGTATGTAGCTCAGCAGCACAAGCGCCTGCCTGGCAAGTGCAAAATCCTGAGTTTGATTCTCAGCACCAAAAAAAAAAAAAAAAAAAAACCCACACTGTAGATTGCTTCAGTACTTTTTATGGCCAGATTATATTCCACTGTAGAGAAAGCACATTCTGTTTAACTGTTTATTTTTGGACAAATAGTTTTTACCTTTTGGCTACTGTGAACATGCTCTTAGGAACATTTGAATATCTCTTTTCAGTTCCTTTGGGGTATATTCCTACATACGCAGTTGGTATGTTTGGTATGTTTGCTTCTTAACCATATCAAGATTCTTCTCTGCTTTCACCCCAAGTAAACCAGGAAAATTAGGAGGACTTTGCATTTGAAAAGGATTTCTATGAATCTCAAATCCTTAATCTCAATTCCCCTTAAACCTTTTTTTTTTTTCCTTTCACTACTGGTGATTGATGAAAACCAGGGCCTTTGCACTGAGCTGTATCCTCAGCCCTCCCTCCACCCCCTCTTTTGAGACATGGTCTTACAAAGTCACAAAGTTGCCCTGGACTTGAACTTTCAGTCCTCCAGCCTCAGCCTCCCAAGTACTGGGATGACAGGCCTGCACTACCATGTCTGGCCTTCCTTACACTTTAAGACCAGCATGGGCAAAACATTTTGTCACTAATCACAGTCATGTGTTCAGTGTGCAACTGTCCAGCTTTAGAAGACCACAGGTGTGCAGTGCCCAGCAAGACACTGACAGCCACGGGCATGTGGCCTGTGGCGGCCCGCTTCGCCCTTCCCCACTTGCTGGGGTGCTTAGCCCTACCTCACAGGATAGCGCGCTCCTCCACTCTGTCATACAGAACAAGGGCTGCCTTGGCACCAGCCTACCAGCCAGAGCGCTTTTGAGCCCCGTGTGACTTCCTGTGTTTCACTCAGAAAAATAAGCTGAAAAGTGAATCCCGTGCACTTAGTTACTGGCTGGTGTGTAAACTGCTTCCTACGCACATTGTGCTGGTTTCCAGGTCTCCGCAAGTTGGAGGTCTCGATTTCACTAAGGCAGCTCACTTTTCCACGTTCTTGGATCAGGTTAATATTTTGGTGAAATTCCTGCATTTCTCAAAGAACTGGGGCTGAAGCAAAAAAAAGTTCCATGCGAGGAAGCATCCAGAAATGCTGTTAAATGAAACCTAATCATTTCCAACAGCTCCTGGGCTTTAGCATTTAGCCTTTCTCCCGTGACTATAAAATAGCTCCTCTAGGCAGGTGGGTTCTCAGGAAGCAACCGAGGGATGGTGGGGTTATTCCCAGGAAAGAGCTGGAGCTGGCGCGAGGGGGCCGTCACCTTGCCTAGACCAGCTTTGGGAGACACTCGCCTAAGGAAAGGTCGTCTTTAGCAAATACAGGTTGTGCAACTCTACCGCTGAGAAGGTATCTTATTGCAGTGAATGATGGATAATTTCAAATTATTACAGAATAAACCCAGGTCATTTTGCCTAGAACCTTTCAATCGCCTTCCTGAGCAGGATCCCCCACCCCCATTCTGTTAAAGGCCAAAACCAGGAATGCTGTCTCCTCTGCCCCTTAAAATGCTCTCCAGTGTTAGTATGGAAATTAAGGGCTAGGGCTATATAGCTCAGTGGCACAACGCCTGCCTGGCAAGCATGAGGTCCTGGTTCAATTCCTGGTACCAAAAAATAAAAAAATTCTAAAAAATAAAACTATCCGCCTTCCCACAGACCCCCATGAGCAAACTACAAGACACAATCGCGACCATCCTGTCTAGAAGTGAAAAGATCTCAGAAATTGGAAAAACTAATATTTAAGAGTTCATCAAGTTGAAAACGCAGGCTAAAAACAGGCTGTAGTAGACAGTCCCCGAACGCGGCCTCTTGTCCAAAATCCCCTTCCCGCCTCCCAGCTTCCACTGATAACAAAGCTGAGACTCTGTTGCTGGCAGGGCCTTGGACGCCAGGGGGCAGCACTGATCTCAGCGTCCACCCCGCCGTTCAGACCCGCGCAGCAAGAGGACGCTGCTGATGTGAGTATCCTAAGGCTGCGTTGTTTGCCTAGGAGAAGGTCACTGCCCACAGCCTCAGCCCTTTACTACAGCTGAAAATGACGAGGGCTGCGGTGTAGCTCAGTGCTAGAGCATTTGCCTCGCATGCACAAGGCTCTGTGTTCCACCCCCAATACAGCAATAAAATCATTTTCTGTAAAAGGGCAGCAGGGCATGGTGGTGCACAGCTGTCATCCCAGCACTTGAGAGGCTGAGGCGGGAGGATCGCTGCGAGTTTGAGGCCAGCCTGGATCACATAGTGAGCTCAAGGCCAGGTGGAACTACATAGTGACAATTTGTCTCAAAAAAAATAAATAAATAAAGGTCAAGGACAGTGACATGTATAAAGTGGTTTGAAATTGAAGTATAAGGAACTGTGTAAAAGCAAAATAATACTATGTTATAATGTTTTAAATTATGTAATGTACATATTAAGAATGCTAAAACTAGGATGGTAGTTCACACCTGCAATTTCAGCACTCCGAGTGGCTAAGTTGGGGTGATCTCAAGTTAAAGCCCATCTTGAGTAGTGAGACCCTGTCTCAAAATAAAAAAGGGCTAGGGATACAACTCAGTGTGAATGCTCCGGACTCAACCCCCAGGATTGCAAATAAATGTGATAATAAATAAATTTATTTTAAAAATCTTTTAGGTCAGGCATGGTGGCACATGCCTGTAATCCCAGGACTCGGGAGGCTGAGGCAAGAGGATTGCTTTGAGTTCGACGCCAGCCTGGGCTACATAGTTCAGGACCAGCATGAACCTATGTAGCAAGACCCAGTCTCAAAACCACAACAAAAAGTCTTAAAAGCCTGGGGATGTACCTCAACACAAAAGCCCTGGGTTCAATACCCAGTAAGAGGAAAAAAAAAACAAAACTCAATAAAATGGAGGCGTTCTGTTTGGCTTGACTAAGGGAAGTTTGTGTGTTCATAGTCAAGATCTCTTAAGGAGGGGCTGGGGATTTAGTTCAGCAGCACAGCGCCTGCCTGGCAAGCACAACGTCATGAGTTCGATTCCTGCTACCGGGGAAAAAAAAAACAGAAAAAAAAAAAAAAAAATCTTCCAAGGAAAGGGAAACGAAGATCATAAAAGTAGCCAGAAGGACCAAAGTGGAGAAAGCGTGTAATTCTGCTCCTCCTGCCTTTTCCTTCCTGGAGGTGAGATAAATTCCTTTTTCTGTTCTGTTTTCTTTTCATGCTGTGAATTGGGCTAAGG